CCTGCCGGAGCACCCAATCCCTTTCATTTCCAGGTTTTGCCCGTCCCCGACCCCCACCAGAGAGCCCCCGGAGGGTTTAGGATTCAGGGCCTTTAGGGTTTAGGATTCAGGGCCTAGGGTTTAGGATTCATCTAGGGTTTAGGATTTAGGATTCAAGCCGTTAGGCACCCCCGCCAGAGCACCCCCCAGAGCACCCCCACCAGAGCACCCCCGCCAAGAGGAGACAGAATTTACTGACAGGACGAACCCCTTCATTTCCAGATTTTCCGTACCCGCAGTTCAAAATGCTATTTTTTAGTGTTGGAATTGATGGTTTCCCTGGCGGGCGGGACGCGGCGGGCCCCCTGACGGGCGGGAGGCCCCCTTACGGAATCCCAAAGCACAAACCTCAATCCGAGGAACAAACAGCGTGGAATATGAGAGGAGAGCCGACAACAAATATATAAAAACCCTAAACCCGACCAAGGTCATAAATTGGGTGGGTGGGTTGGGAGAGGACGTGAACCTTGGCGCACACCACAACACACGCCCTGCGTGGTGGTGTGCGCGGAGCGTATGACACACCCTAAACCCTAAACCCTAAACCCTAAACCCTAAACCCTAAACCCTAAACCCTAAACCCTAAACCCTAAACCCTAAACCCTAAACCCTAAACCCTAAACCTAACCCTAAACCCTAAACCCTAAACCCTAAACCCTAAACCCTAAACCCTAAACCCTAAACCCTAAACCCTAAACCCTAAACCCTAAACCTTCAACCCTAACCCTAAACCCTAACCCTAAACCCTAAACCCTAAACCTAAACCCTAAACCTAAACCCTAAACCCCTAAACCCTAACCCTAACACCCTAAACCCTAACCCTAACCCTAAAACCCTAAACCCTAAACCCTAAACCCTAACCCAAAGCCAAAGCCCCAGGCTTGACATGCGCAGCTTAGAGTTGAGGGTTCAAAGCCGCACATCGCGATAAGATCAAACAGACAAGCAGCAACGTCTCAGCTCCCCCCCTCCCCCCCCCCCCCTCCCCCCCCTCCCCGCCTCCCCCCCTCCCCCCCCCCCCTCCCCCCTCCCCCCCCTCCCCTCCCCCCCCTCCCCTCCCCCCCTCCCCCCCTCCTCCTCCCCCCCCCTCCCCCCTCCCCCCCTTCCTCCTCCCCTTCCCCTCCCCCCCCCTCCCCCCCTCCCCCCCTCCCCCCCCCCCCCCCCCCCCTCCCCCCCCCTCCCCCCCTCCCCCCTCCCCCCCTCCCCCCCTCCCCCCCTCCCCCCCTTTATTATCTCGCCGTTCACGTCCCCTCCCCCCAAACAGTCCCAAACCCAAGCCCCAAGCCCTCCTGGGTTTGGGTTGAAGGCTAAAGCGAGTCGAGGGAACACAGCGAACAGTTTTTGGGGGGGATGCCTGGGAGGCATACCGAGTTCTTAACAAGCACTCCCCAACGCGGCTTGAGATCATGGTCTTGTTGTACGAAAAGCGATCCAGGGCCCACAGTTTATAACCCTAAACCGTAAACCCTAAACCCTAAACCCTAGGCCCTAGACCCTAAACCCTAAACCCTAAACCCTAAACCCTAAACCCTAAACCCTAAACCCTAATTAAACCCTAAACCTTATATCGACCCCCTCCCCATGTTGCAACCACAAGTAGAAGATTTGGCTGTGGGTTTTTCGGGAGGGGGGGGGGAGGGTAATGTTCGGAAATACCCCAACATGCCTGAACCCTAAGCCAGACCCTTTACGAGAACTCCGCCAATTGCTGTTCCGCAGTATTCTTCTCCATCACGTCTGAGCCCCACTAGCAATGATCTTGGAATCGCCTCACCTCAGGGCCAGGTTAACGCAGCTCACTGCGGACAATCATTGCGCACGGCTGCTGCAAAGGCCTAACCTACAGCGTTGCCGATACATTCTTGGGTCGAATAAGGATTAGGTTTCGGGTTTTGGAGTGTTACAAGGGGGTACGCCCTGTTGTAGACGGAGCAACCATGGAGCCTTCCGCAGTGGCAATCATCGTCGCTGCCAGCGTCTTGGGCGCTTTCTGCCGAGCGGCCACAGGCTAAAGTTCAGGGCTTCCGGTCTGAAAACTAGAGGCATAGTTCAATGAACACATCAATCACAACAACTGTATGTCAATGTATTTATATACATATGCACAAACGTTATATGCGTAATTTCGGGTCATTTTGAAGCATGTACCCGCGTCAGGCAGAAACGTTGAGGTCAACAACCGAATCCATGGAAGGGGTTCTGGAGGGCTCCAGGAGGGTTAGGGTCTAGGGCTTCGGGTCCAGGGTTTAGGGTCTAGGGGTCAGGGTTTATGGTTTAGGGTGTTGGGTTTAGGGCTTAGGGTTTTGGGTTTAGGGGTCAGGGTTTTAGGGTTTTGGGTTTAGGGGTCAGGGTTTAGGGTTTTGGGTTTAGGGGTCAGCGTTTAGGGTTTAGGGAGTAGGGTTTAGGCTTTAGGGGTTAGGGTTTAGGCCTGTGAAGCACCAAGCTCGGCCCACAAAGCCCAGGGAACTTCGAGAACCCCGGAAGCGTGAGTTGTCAACAATGTTTTAGTTTCTTGGTAGGGTTTTGGGTTTTGGGTTTAGGGTTTAAGGTTTAGGGGTTTTAGCATTATTCCTGTCATTGTTAGTTATCGTTGCTCTGGTTGTGGCTACAAATTTTTATTTTGGATCGTTAGTAGTGCCATGTTTTGCTGTTGGTGTCATGAGTCATGATTGTCCTCGTTGAGGCTGCTGTCATTCATGTCGTTCGGGCTATTCTCGCTATCATCATAGTCATTGCCTGAGCCCGAAACCCTAAACCCTAAGCCCTAAAGCCTAAAGCCTAAAGCCTAAAGCCTAAACCCTAAACCCTAAACCCTAAACCCTAAACCCTAAACCCTAAACCCTAAACCCTAAACCTACATTTTGTTTTGCTGTTGCTCTTTGTCTATGCTGGGAGGCTTCGGCGGCTCCATCCTCTTCGTCCTTGTGCACTTTGGTCAATGAAGACTCGAAGGGGAACCCCAAGCCGGGAACCCCACGAGACTATGAGGGCTTAGGGTTTAGGGTTTAGGGTTTAGGGTTAAGGGTTTAGGGTTTAGGGATTAGGGTTTAGGGTTTAGGGTGGGAAGATAGAGAGGATGTACCTACCAGGGTCCTGACCCTCCCCTTTGTATTCCTACCCTATTCTTGGGGTTCCTTGTTTGGGGTTCCCATGAGGATCCTTTTGGTCAGTTTTCGTGCCAGCAAGAGGGGCTGTGGGTTTTCATGGCATCTCGTCGTGGCAAGAACCTAAAGTTCGCGGCCGCTGCGCCCCAAACACTATAAACCCTGAACAGGCCTCCAACACATGAGCCCTGAACCCTGGACCCTAAACCCTAAAGCCTAAACCCTACACCCTATACCCTATAAACCCTAGACCCTCAGGTCAAAAGATTTTATACCTCTAGCAATTTTGGAACCTTGCCTTGAGGGCACCGCAAGAAGGGACCATGATTTAGATGTCCGGCCACAAAAGAATTAGAACATGGTTTTGGAGGTTTAGGGTTTAGGGTTTAGGGTTTAGGGTTTCGGGTTTAGGGTTTAGGGTTTAGGGTTTAGGGTTTAGGGTATATTTACAAAGGGGCCCTAAAGGAATACTATTAGTATTTCTTCCGACCCCTTATATACTTGGGCCGTAAAGGGGTTCCTACGCAGTAGCTTCAGAGCCCAAGTATATACCATATGGGTGGTTGTCAAAATTATGGTCCCCTTTTTGGATCCTATTATAATACGGCACTTAATATGTAGGGTACCCCAAAAAAGCCATAACTTTGACAACCACCCACATATACACATACGACTCTGCTCCAGAAACTGCGGGCTGCTAACTCCTAAACCTTCCTCTCAACTCTCTTGACCCTCTGAATCCTCTGAACCCTCTTAGCCTCTTAACAAGTAGTATAGCTCCTCTCCTCCCCTCTTTCTCTTCTCCTTATCGGCATGAATTCAGATAATTTCGTCTCGCATCATCCTCCTCGCGCAGAGCTCAGCTGGACATTGCTTCGAGGCTCGTGTGGCTGGCAAGTGACCCTCTGTAAAAATCTTAGCCGTCTAAACCCTCTTAACCCTCTTAACCCTCTTAACCCTCTTAACCCTCTCAACCCTCTTAACCCCCTTAGCCCTCTTAACCCTCTGAACCCTCTGAACCCTCTTGCTCCACTCAACCCTCCGAACCCTCTGCTCGTCTGCGAAGCGAGCAAAGAAAAGGTACAGCCTCGCGAGCCAGCTGCATCTGGCTCCCGGTCTGGAGAGCGCCGTGTTGATGGTCGTTCTTGGCACAGTCTTCGAGTTGCTTGAGCGTTAAACGGCTCGAGGGTTTTAGGATCCTAAACCCTAAAACCTAATCCTTAAACGCTCAACCCTAGACCCTGAGCCACCCCCCTTTTCCCCCCAACGCCCCATGTTGAGGGTACTTGTTCTTGGACTTTGCACCTTCCAAAAGAAAAAACAGGTACCTATATCTGGCCATGAACCTTACGGTAGACTGGGAGGATCTTAAGGGGGCTTTAGGGGTTTTGGGGGTTTTTGGGGGTTGTAGCTACGAACCCCAAAGCCTGCGATGCAAGCCTATAGGCCCTGAAGGCCATGAGCACATCTCCAGCTTTGAAGGGTTTGGGGTTTGGGGTTCAGGGTTTGGGGTTTAGGGCTTGGGGTTTAGGGTGTAGGGTTTAGGGTTTAGGGTTTGAGGTTTAGGGTTTAGGGCTTGGGGTTTAGGGTTTAGGGTTTGGGGTTTAGGGTTTGGGGTTTAGGGTTTGGGGTTTAGGAGTTCAGCGTTTGGGGTTCAGGGTTTGATTTAGGGTCTTGCAAGTGCTGGCAGCTGACAGTAGCGAAGTTGCACGAGTCGTTGGAGAAGGCACCGGACGAGGGCTTCAGAGGTCACATGGCGCGGCTAAGCGGTGCCTCAGTGTTCAACTTGTCGTAGATATTGCGGCTGTCTGTCAGTGCGTAGCCAAAGGACTCACCTGGCACACTGCCCCATCCAGCATGTCTGTGGACGTCATGCCGACAAGGATGCCCTGCGTGGACCCACCGTCGGGCCGATTGGCGTTTCCAGCATCCACCCACGCCACCATTGTCAGCTTCCTCTGCTTGTCCGGACACCTTCTCCTTGCTGCAAAGCAGGACCTGCTTCTCACTCTGCTGAACTATTTTTCAGGAACTCGAAGGCCCAAAGCTCCAAGAGACTCTCAACAGGGCCCGCCACTGCCAGAAAACGACTGTTCCCACAACAGCGCCGCCTCCTCGTACTGCACGAAGAAGCTTGCCTCGCCGTTCCAACATCCAGAATGCCTTCCTTGCTCCTGAAGAAAGAGGCGGCCGAAGTGTTGTTGGCTGCTGCACCCATTGATCTTCCTTGCGATTCCAGGAAGCCACACAACCCTGGATCGAATTCGAACCTACTCTCAGACAGGCTCCGCTACCATGCAAGTGCTGGTAGCTGACAGTAGCGATGTTTCAAAGGTCTATGGCCGCACGAATGTCCTTGCGGTGCAGTGCATGAAAAGCACCGGTTCGGGAGAACTTGCAGGGTTTCAGAATGCCTACATCCCGCCCAAGGGTCCGCCTTGGAGCACGAACCCCCCCCCGCTCTCGCCCCGACAGATCATCTTCCAGCTTCAGGGTTTAGGGTTTAGAGTTTAGGGTTTAGGGTTTAGGGTAGCTACTTGGAGGTTCATGGGTAGTTCAAGCTGGGGTTAGAAGTGTAGTTAGAAGTGGTTCTATCCCTATTTTGGGGTTGTCCCCCTGAACCTTCAAGCATCCCAGGTTTTCCACCTCGACCGTTCTCTTCCTCGCAGTGACCAAGCGGGCACGCCAGCTATGGCGCAGCTTGCCTCAGCAGAGAAAACCGACTTGTCCTTGTGACAGATTGTGACCTTTCCCTAGCCGAACAGCATTCCTGGACAAACCCCCCAAACCCCCAAACCCCCTAAACCCCTAAACCCCTAAACCCCTAAACCCCTAAACCCCTAAACCCCTAAACCCCTAAACCCCTAAACCCCTAAACCCCTAAACCCCTAAAGCCCTAAACCTCTAAACCCCTAAGTCCTGAACCCCTAAACCCCCAAACCCTAAACCACACATCCCAGGCAGCCTCCTCCTCCTGTCCCTGCCGGGCGCACCTGGCACGGCCCTTGGCTTCTACATCTTGGTGCATCTTGGCGCCCTGTAAAGGTCGAGGCTGCAGGGTTTAGGGTTTGAAGGGTGGCAATTCAAGAGAGGCCATTACCTCTTAAACAAGGTGCGCGGCCCCCATATAAACCACCTCCGGAGCAAATCGTCATGGACTGGAAGTGTGTGGAAGTCGAAGAAATCTATGGCAGGCACAGTGAATGCACATGTTCTGACCAAGTCCTGAGGTGGTACCAAAGAAGCGAAAATTGGTCACTAATTTTGTGATCAGTCTGGGGGACCAACTAGAAGGCTTTCAAGTGCCATCTGAGTATCATTCGCCTTCATCAGTATCACGATCACTCTCATTGCCACGATCATTAGTCAGACTCCGTATCGTTTGCATCGTTACCCCCATTACACTACTACCGAGTTATTACCGTTGCTGCCGCTATTGCCATCAGAATCATGATCAACTTTAACGCTGCGCGACCCGCCTCGGCCTCGGCCTGGGCCGGCCCAGTGGCGAGGCAACCCAAACCGGAGATCGCGGGTGTGAAGGCGCTGTTAGGCTTCAGGGCTTTTTGGGGATCCTGTTGTACCACGCGGGCCGGGGGACGCAAGCCGGGGGTGGGGGTGGGGGGGGTGCCGGGTTTTGGGCAGATCTGTGGGGTACCCAGTCCAAGCAAAGAAGTGCCAAATGGAGCAGGGTGGGAGGGCACGCGAGGCCTGCTTTGACGCCTATGTTTAGGCGTCACCCTAAACCCTAAACCCGAAACCCTAAACCCTAAATCCTGCATCCTGCATCCAAAACTCTACACCGATCCCACCACCTCAGGCAGACAGGCGAGAACCTCGATATCCTGGAGAGTATCAAGACCTGCCTCAACTTGACTTTTGGCCTGGTCGCGCTCTTCAAGATCACTGTGGAGCAGGGTTTAGGGTTTAGGGTTTGGGGCTGCAGAGCGTTGGTGATGCTTTGGCGTTTGTAAGGCTTTAACATTGTCTGTGCGAGCTTTCGGGGCTAGTAGAGGGGGCTTCAGGGAATTCAGGGGGTCTCGGAAGTCCTCGTCTTTGGTTGAGGCAGCGGCCCCCCAAAGGGCTGAAATCCAAAGCCAGACGCAGAAGTGCCGTGACTGAACACCAATCCCCTCTCCCTCATAATATTAAACCTCCCCCCCCTACCCCCTAATATTAAACACCCCCCATTATAGGTATATTAGAGATACGGGGGGATCTTTACTATTAGGGGGGGGGGGGGGGTAGAGGGGGTACTAACCCAACCATAACTGTACTTGTGACCCAATCATAACCATATTAGGGCCACTGACGGGGCTGAAAAGTGGGTAATAAGTACAGTTTTAATTGACCCTAA